CTGACAAAAAAAAAAAAAAAGAGCTGAGGGACAGCACCCAGGCTGTGAGTTCAAACCCTGGTGCTGGCACCAAAATAAATCCATATTAGGGCCAGGCATCAGTGGCTCAGGGCTGTAATTATAGTTACTCAGGAGGCTAAGATCTAAAGATTAAGATTCAAAGCTCATCCAGGCAGGAAGGTCCATGAGAATCATCTCTAATTAACACCAAAAAACTGGAAATGGTAGTATGGCTCAAGTGGAACATCTGTAGAACGTCAAACTTGAGTAGGAAAAGCTAAGGGACAGCACCCAGTCTTTGAGTTTAAGGCCTGTTTACAGGCACAAATACACACATTAGTTGTTTCATTTTGTTGCATTGTGTTTTGACTGTACTAGGATTTGAACTCAAGAGTCTTACACGTGCTAGGCAGGAACACTTATCACTTGAGCCATGCCTCCAGCTTTCATATATATATATATGGTAGGGGAAACCAAGGTATAGGGGAAAAAAAAGTCTTGTTGAAAGGAGTACAGTGAGGGCTGGGAAGGTGGCTCAGTGGTGCTTGCCTTGCATGCATGAGGCCCTGGGTTCGATTCCTCAGCACCACATAAGCAGAAAAAAAAAAGCCGGAAGTGGCGCTGTGGCTCAAGCGGTAGAGCTCTAGCCTTGAGCTGAAGAGCTGAGGGACAGTGCCCAGGCCCAGAGTTCAGGCCCTATTGGACCCAAAAAAGAAAGAAAGAAAGAAGGAAAGAGGAAGAAAGAAAAGGAGTACAATGTCAAAACTAGGATATACCTGGGCACAGGTAGCTCACACCTGTAATCCTAACTACTCAGGAGGCTGAGATCTGGGATCATATTTCAAACACAGTCTGCACAGGAAAGTCGATGAGACTCTTACCTCCAATTAACCACCAGAAAACTGCAAATGGAGCTGTGGCTCAAAGTGGTAGAGTGCTATCCTTGAGCAAAACAACTCAGTGACAGCACCTAGATCCTGAGTTCAAACTCCTGACCAACATAAAAAACAACAACAAAAAACTAGGCTTTGATTTTGAATTCTTTATTTTTGTAGACCAAGTGTCTATCTGTCTCTGTCTTTTTCTTTTTCTCTCTTCCTCTATCCTCCCTCCCTCTTCTACTTCTTTCCCCTTTCTTATTCCATAGAATCTTGCCGTTCAGGCTGGTCTTGAACTAGTTATGTAGCTCAGGCTGTCCTCATAGATTCTCACCCCCACCCACACCCCCTATGCACACACATACACTTCACCAAATTACTGTAGGTTCTCTCAGTACTTATGTGTTACATACCTTGGAGCAAAGTATCAAGAGGTATCTGTGCTTATAATGAGATCTCCAGAGTTTTTCTCTTATTAAACTAAACTAGTATCTTCCTCTGTGTCAGCTCTTGCCAACATTTTTTTCTCTTCACAGTTTTAATGAATTTTGGGCCCCCAATTAAAAATGATGTACCTTTTTCACCGTTTCAGCCTTTGGTAGCTGAAGTTCTGTGACAGAATTAGTTCCCACTGCTCTAAAGTATTCTCATGGTACGTTACCAGTCAGTTTCTGTGTATCCACCTTGGCATTAGTTTTGGACTATTCTTGTGAGAAGTGAGAAAATGGTTATTGAAATATTCTTCAATATTCACTGGTTTAAATAGGAACGTTGGTTGAGAATTAAGAGATATTGTTGAAATCTCTACTTCTTAGTACTTTTAGCCTAGCCCACAAATTTCAGCTCTATAGGATTCAGAATCTCCTTTCCTTATCCTTTCAACTGTCTACTTAGTAGCATTTCCTGTTTTTTGGGTCTTCATCTTCATTATGAGAAGTAAAAGAATCCCTAGATGTCACTTTACATCTCTTCTAAGCTAAAGAGTCACATGTACCCAGATAGTATTTAGCAAGCTGCTCCTCAGTAGAGTCCAAAAGTTCCCTTGAGCCTCCTTTCATGTTTCTATGTGCTGGTTTGGCTGGGCTTCTAGGTAAACCTGATCAAAGCACGTTCTTCCATCTTTACCTCTAGAAGGGCAACATCTATATATGCTGAGGAGGGCAAGGGTATGATAGAGGGGGACTAGAAGAAACATGGATCAACATTTGCTCTGATAATGGGAATTTCTAAATAACAGTAGATTCCCTTCACTAAGGTAT